AAATATATTCAGTTAATTGAACACGATCATTATGATTGTTAATTCTAGTACTATCTGATTAGTATAATCAGGGTATCATTTCTCAGAGCAATTTTTCAAATTGTCTTTCAAGGATTAAGATCTTTGGTAAACAATCACATGTTTTCTCCACATTTCCATCTGATTTTTGTCGAATACTTTTTGTATTTCTTTGTTGAAGATTTAGGTTGTCAGAATGATTTATCATCTGGAGCACGCGTACCGAATAATTCGTACAGTTTTGTCAACTATTCTCCAGCATAAGTAGATATGCAACAAAAACTATTACTAAGAATCGTATGTCGTACAACGATTGTGGTTTGCCTAAGGCAATGACAAGTATAGATTTTTCAATTTATACTCTGCTACGTGGAAAGAGAATCTAAAACTGAGTGTTGTTGGATATCGTTCGAATTCAGCTTTTGCGAATAGCACTTCTATACTTCAAACGTTGTCTGTGCCGAACATAACATTTCTCGGATATTCTCATTTAGACACGGCAGTATTTTCAACATCGGGTGAAACATTAACTCCAACTATGACTATAGTTATGGTAATGGTACACACTATGCTACGGATAATATATATTATTAGTATTGTGTAAAGGTGGAAAATGTCAGAAGAACAACTGAAAGGCAGTGTTCTTTTTATTCTTTTCTTTATCTGATGGTTTTTATCTGAGATGAGTCCTAATAAAATGAGCCTTGTTTTTTCGGAGTTACACGAAAAATACAAAGTCAATAGACATTCATTACTCGGATTGTGCTCGTTTCGCCCAATATTCGTTTTCCACGTCTGTCCATTTTAACGGCATTAATTGTTCAATATTCATAACAAATGGTTCTTCGATAGTTCCAACAATAACTCTTGTTTTTCCATTACAATCACCAATTAATTCTCGGCATCTCCCACATGGACTAAATAATCGAAATCGATCTTTCTCCTTATCATCGCCGGCTAACGCGACAATAGTATCGAGTTCGTTCATTTGATGTCCATGATTGATCATTGAACATATCGCACTAACTTCACCACATAGCGGTTGACTTGATTCAATATGAATACCGGTATAAATTTTATCGGTGGAAGGTAAAGTACGCAGAGCACTGACAACAACATGAAAATGTGGTTTATGAAGACGAGTTGATGTACGTTTGGCTTCTTCAATTAATTCCAAATCTTTTTCGGTCAATTTTGAATCTTTTTGCTGCATTTTAATGAAAACTCAACTTGTGTAATGTTGACTCTGATAAGAACACACAACTAAACGTATATGCGAATCACACAGTAAGAAATAAAAGAGGGCGTCATCAATCGTTCGACTTTTTTTCAGTGAAAATTAAGATAAAAAGATGACACTGTAAATTAGATGCATACAATCACCCTGATTCTTCTGATTATGTCACTATTCCGCGGAAGAACTATTTCATCCAGAACTAATTTATGACCACACACGTCTATGCACATGTTTATAGTGATTTCATCTTCTGTATTAATTACTGACGATATCTCTTCAATGAATCGAAAGTTTTTCTTATAGTACGATTCTTTTTTTACAGTAAAACCATTAGTTTCAACACATTGAATCAAATCAATCGAGTTTTTCGTATTCTATACATCGTATTTCACGCATCGTGAAAATATGAACATCAATTCCTTTTTTTCATTCGCGTTTTTCTTTCCCTTTATTTAAATTATGATACCGGCAATTAATACAACAATACATACGCTAACAAAACGTTTTTCACTACGAATTGACCTGAGATCATATCTTTCCGGATATTTCCAATCTATTATAGTCAGGATTAACATAAATGCTTCGAGTAGAACAAAACATCCGTATAAATAATTGACCCACGCTAAGAATAGACATACAAAACCACAAACTCGTCCTTCTTGTACGTTATTCCTTCTGTAATTGCCTAACATAGCGGTAAATGCAAACCATCCGCTAAACGTTATTGCCAACGAAATGATAACGTTCCGTATGATATACACAAAGGATGGTTTCCACACCGGAATGAACACTTCCATTTCGTTTATGATACAATCGTTTGAAGGTGGAAAAGAAGATACTCCAACACCACCCATGTACACAGATGGAAAATGAATTTGACATCGAAAATGTCCATTGATCTCATAAATCCCAACATCTGGTTGATTCATATCACCAAAGATGGGTCCAGATGAAACATCATTAACAACGGCATAGTTTCGATATCGTTTATCAATTGAAAACTTTTTCGCAGGAATTTTCATCACATTTAACAATGAGAAAAGAAATGCTTTTGTACTCGAACTGTAAGCTGGTACGTGATTTAATGATGTTGTCCAATTGACATCGACATATCCACCAAATAGATAACCATTCGTCGTTGACACAACTGTATATGTTTCTCCTTCATTGTCACACTGTTTGTGAAATGCTGATGCATTTAAACCATGTGTTGATCCTCTATGAAAAGGACGAAGGTTCACATACAGAGACCAATGCAGAGATATTCTCTGGAAAGAGTGAAATTTACCTATAGATGAGTTTCCAACTTGCAAGACGAGAAGCAGAGTCATTATAGAAATAATTCAAATAGATTTGATTTTCAGATGAGAGAAGATATGAACTCTCAAATGGATTATTTCGTGAAGNAATGCTGATGCATTTAAACCATGTGTTGATCCTCTATGAAAAGGACGAAGGTTCACATACAGAGACCAATGCAGAGATATTCTCTGGAAAGAGTGAAATTTACCTATAGATGAGTTTCCAACTTGCAAGACGAGAAGCAGAGTCATTATAGAAATAATTCAAATAGATTTGATTTTCAGATGAGAGAAGATATGAACTCTCAAATGGATTATTTCGTGAAGAACATTGCTGAATAGTTGTACATGAAATGGGCATTGCAATTGCAGCATTATCCAATGCATTTCCTGTTTTGTCGTTCTTTGAGGGCGACGAACCTTTGGAAGATCGAAACATCATAATGATAAAGAATATAAAGACTACAAGAATAACGAATAAAGAACTCGATAAGTCATTGTTTTGTCGACCTGTTGATGGAGGATGATTTGCTGTGCTCTATTTGAGAGAAGAAAATATTGAACTTAGAAATGTTTTACATCAATTCTCTTACTCGATTACTTCCTTGTTGATTTCTTTCAAGATGATGTGTAGTTATATGTTGATCGAATTCACCACGTTCTAAATTACTCTGTCCACAATGTGAACAGTTGACTTTGAGTTGATTGAGGATATTGCGAACGGTACGTGCAGCTGGCGTTAAACTATTCATAGATAATGCTTGTTGACAAAGGGGACAGGTGTTTCCTGTTTGAAGCCAATGGGTGATACATTGACAACAGAATGTATGATCACAGGGAGTTTGTTGTGGATCAAGAAATGGATTCTGACAAATACTGCAGATCAACTCTGAGCTAATCGATGTTTCATTGACATACTCATATGTTGACTTCATTGTTCACTCGGATATTTATTATGTAAAACTCAAGTTCGTCTTCTGTATATGATATCTATAAGCAAAGTGTCTCTTGAGATACGAAAATATCAGTGAAAGGGAAAAAAACACTGACACATGTTTACCTTTATGCAAACAGTCAAACAAAGACAATAAAATGTATAAAGTGTGTAAAGATTGCAATCAGAAGAGACTTCTACATGTGACTCATATCAAAATAAACTAAAGTCTTTTATCAATGAAACAATGGAAGAAGAAAGAATAGTTTATATAGTTCTGCTACGAATAATTGCAATGGAACGAAAGATCGATATTGCATGTGTTTGAAAAATTCGGCTTTAATTTTCTAATCACAAAACACATTTACAAGTTTTCTTTGATGATTTGACAGTACATATTCAGAGAGTATAAGGTGATGATTCCGGGTTCACTAATTCCATGGTCAGATTCGATAGATGCATATGTGTACCCAGTAGAGTCACTCTGCCCACATTTTGAAGTGACAAGATTTTAGAAATGTCTGAAATTTTCTTGTTTGTTATGACATTCACAAAGAAGAAAAGAGCGAAAAAAACAAGGACTCGTGCTCTCTAATGTATCTTCCTTCATTCAAAGAAAATGGAAAGTTTGTTAATTATGTTTATCTCTACACTGATACAATCATCAGGTAGTATTAAAGGCATTTAGGAAGAGATTGGAGAAGGAGAAGAAGTTAACGAATTATGAGTACCATTTTATTATATCTTATTGATCACTATTGCTTGACAAAGAAAATGTTTGAGCAGCAGTTGATGGAAACGTAAATTCAATCTCAACTATTCGATATAAACAGGTGAGAGTGTAGGACGTGGATAATTCAAGATGAAAAAGGTACGGATAAGAATTGAATGATAAGAAAAAGAAACAGTGATTAGTAGGGATATGCGGTGTCAGTTTACTGACCACTGAAATTACCGACACTGATGACTTCGGTGCACCGACGGTTACTGATATATAATGGACTGTTAAGGCAGTAAACCTCAGTGCACCGAAGTCATTAGTGTTTCCGTTTCATCAGTGTTGGTGATTTCAGCGTCAGTATTTACACTGAAACCGCACATCCCTAGTGATTAGTCATCTGTCGCTCTCTTCCGTTGAGTAATATCTTCAATTTTCGTAATGATCAGGTTTATTTGTGAAAAATAATTTTCATTCTTTCATTGTTTTTCATTTAGCTACAAATGAGAACGTCGAAGCAAAAGCAAGAATATATGTCGCAAAAGTTGTGGAGCGATAAAATATATCCGATGCAGCTGANAACGCTGATGCATTTAAACCATGTGTTGATCCTCTATGAATAGGACGAAGGTTCACATACAGAGACCAATGCAGAGATATTCTCTGGAAAGAGTGAAATTTACCTATAGATGAGTTTCCAACTTGCAAGACGAGAAGCAGAGTCATTATAGAAATAATTCAAATAGATTTGATTTTCAGATGAGAGAAGATATGAACTCTCAAATGGATTATTTCGTGAAGGACATTGCTGAATACTTGTACATGAAATGGGCGTTGCAATTGCAGAATTATCCAATGCATTTCCTGTTTTGTCGTTCTTTGAGGGCGACGAATCTTTGGAAGATCGAAACATCATAATGACAAAGAATATGAAGACTACAAAAATAATGAATAAAGAGCTCGATAAGTCATTGCTCTGTCGACCGGTTGATGGAGGATGATTTGCTGTGCTCTATTTGAGAGAAGAAAATATTGAACTTAGAAATGTTTTACATTAACTCTCTTACTCGATTACTTCCTTGTTGATTTCTGTCAGGACGATGTGTAGTTATATGTTGATCGAATTCACCACGTTCTAAATTACTCTGTCCACAAAGTGAACAGTTGACTTTGAGTTGATTGAGGATATTGCGAATGGTACGTGCAGCTGGCGTTAAACTGTTCATGGATAATGCTTGTTGACAAAGAGGACAGGTGTTTCCTGTTTGAAGCCAATGGGTGATACATTGACGACAGAATGTATGATCACAGGGAGTTTGTTGTCGATCAAGAAATGGATTCTGACAAATACTGCAGATCAACTTGAGCTAATCGATGTTTCATTGACATACTCATATGTTGACATCATTGTTCGCTCGGATATTTATGTAAAACTCGAGTTCGTCTTCTGTATATGATATCTAAAAGCAAAGAGTCTCCTGAGATACGAAAATATCAGTGGAAGGGAAAAAAACACTGGCATATGTTTACCTTTATGCAAACAGTGAAATAAAGACAATAAAATGTATAAAGTGTGTAAAGATTGCAATCAGAAGAGACTTCTACATGTGACTCATATCAAAATAAACTAAAGTCGTTTATCAATGAAACAATGGAAGAAAAAAGAAGAGTTTATATAGTTCTGCTAAAAATAATTGCAATGGGACGAAAGATCGATATTGCCTGCGTTTGAAAAATTCGGCTTTAATTTTCTAATCATAAAACACATTTGCAAGTTTTCTTTGATGATTTGACAGCACATATTCAGAGAGTATAAGGTGATGATTCCGGGTTCACTATAATTCTATGGTCAGATTCGATAGGTGCATGCGTGTACCCAGTAGAGTCATTCTCGTCCACATTTTGAAGTGACAAGATTTTAGGAATGTCTGAAATTTTCTTGTTTGTTATGACATTCACAAAGGAGAAAAGAGCGAAAAAACCAACGATTCGTGCTCTCTAATGTATCTTCCTTCAGTCAAAGAAAATGGAAAGTTTGTGAATTATGTTTATCTCGACATTGATACAATCATCAGATAGTATTAAAGGTATTTACGAAGAGATGGGAGAAAGAGAAGAAGTTAACGAATTATGACTACTATTTTATTATATCTTGTTGATCACTATCGCTTGACAAATAAAATGTTTGAATAGCAGTTGATGGAAACGTAAATTCAATCACAACTATTCGATATAAACAGGTGAGAGTGTAGGGCGCGGATAGTTCAAGATGAAAAAGGTACGGATAAGAATTGAGTGATAAGAAAAAGAAACAGGGGTTAGTAGGGATATGTAGTGTCAGTATTTACACTGAAACCGCACATCCCTAGTGATTAATCATCTGTCGCTCTCTTTCGTTGAGCAATATTTTCAATATTCGTAATGATCTGGTTTATTTATGAAAAATAATTTTCATTCTTTCATTGTTTTTCATTTAGCTACAAATGAGAACGTCGAAGCAAAAGCAAGAATATATGTCGCAAAAGTTGTGGAGCGATAAAATATATCCGATGCAGCTGATTTGCAGGCGGCCCACGATTGTGATACGGGAGCACCACAGTCTGCTGGGTAAATTTCTTTGCATTTGTGAGAACACGCTGTTGCATTACATGGAGTCATTGAAAAGGTTGGTTTTGTAACCACATCACAGTGAAAACCTGCACAACATCCACAAAAACACAAACCACCATCCACTGTTGATATGCAGAGGATCAATCCGATACAAAGAAGAAAAATCGCTGCAGAGATGTTTTGCATAATGTCAGTTGGAATGAGTTGAGATGTGAATAAGTGTCAATTAATGTACTTTATATACATGATGAGAAGGGTAAAAAAGTGCGTGGTAAATTGATCTGAGAAAGCGTAGGTATGTTTGAATAGATATCTGATATAATTTCAGCACGTTGTGAAAGAACAATCAGTAAATATTTTGTATTATTGTACTGTGCGAAGAATGATATTTGATAGGTAACGATAACTACAGCTGCATTCCTTTTATGAAGGTACAAATCCGATAAAGAAAATGAATTCCTTGTTTTTTATGTCCAGTTCCGTGAATATGACAGTTCAAAATGATCCGGGAAATAATGTTCGACTCGCTCGCCGCGTCAGTTCTTTCCAACAGATTTGTTTTGTTCAACAAATAATAGAAATAACATTTAATAACAGTCAACGAAATAAACAATTTCATGTTGAACTGGAGAGAATGAGACTCAACGATAATTTTTTTATTTCTGCAAAGATTCACGAAGTAGATAAAATATTTTGTATAATGAAATTATCGAACATAAATCTCATTTCCGGGAACATCTCAATGAAAAAGCATTCGCGATCATTTTCTTGATTGAAAATCATTAATAACTTCGGTCAACCTTCTTTTTATACAAAAACAACGTTCCTTCTATTCTGATTTCATTCTGAGAGATTCTTCGAAGGAGGTCTCATCAAATATCATGGAATTGATTAATTTATGTGTGAGGGTAGGTGTGTAGTTGAACTGTGAAACACTGAACAAAGCATAGATCCAGAAACTTAGAAGTATTACATGGCAATGTATGATGTGGTCGGCGAGATAATGAAAATAAAGCGCGCTCGGTTTTAAGCTCTCTAATTAGAAGGAGAAAGGAGATGGGATCGGGCGGGTTGCGAAATTTTTGGGGGATCAGTGACAGACCGTGAAAATTTCACAATGTATATATATGCCGTTTTTTAGCATGATGTTTAAGTAATAAATAAATAATGCTCGTCGAGAATGACTCGCATTACCCTCGACTGAAAAGATCAATGGAAGATATAACAAGTTATTATTGTATTTTTCTTGATTTTGCGCAAGAGAAAATCCTTTTCAATTGGAACGAAACACGTTGAAGATATAATGAGCAACTCTTTAAACAAGGAAATAATGATTATAAACGAGTACGAATAAGAAAAGCGAAACAAAAGAAAGTATTTTATAGTAAAGATGAAAAGAAAATTTGCACTTATATTACAAACAATAAACGAATAGAAAAGTTTCAATTATGCAGAAAATTTTCACAATTACAAGATATGCAAATAAATCAGATGCGAAAAATGGATGACGATTATTCGAGATTTTGTGTCCGTTAATATTTGTCCAAACCATTCTGAAAAACGCATCTGTGTTTCCATGTAGAGATCGTCTAGTCTTTGCATCTCGGCCACTTGAGATTTGCTGGGTTTGATCACTAAGACTTTGTAGTGAAAATGTCTTAAAATAATTAAATCGTCCAAACGCTTCACCCTCGATAGTGGTACATCCCATCGTGTCCAAAAAGGGAGAAATCATGTATGAAAACACGTGAAAAGGGTTGATGAAAAATGCAACAAAGTCGATGACATACTTCACTAATGAAAATTTGTGTATTCAACGACACATCGAAATTCATCGAGCTTTTGGAATGCCACACCACATCGCTATTCTTCGATGATTGTCTCTATCTATATTGCAAGAGAATATTCGTGTTTCGTATATCTCATCACTCGTGTGCATCACAGCCTCTGGTATACAGACACTAAAGAAGATCATAATTATCAGTATTGTGATCTTTTTTAGTGAATGAAATGCGTATAAATGATGGAATATAGGAATGGGGAATATTTCCCTTATACGATCCTGATTTATTTATATACTTACTTACTATGCTATTTATCTCTCCAACTGGTTAAACGTTTACATGCCAAGCTTCATACGTATGTAGGAAACCATTTGGTTACTGCACATTGCATCCTTGGATAACGATGGAACTAACTTTCCGAACAACATTGGTGCACGAAATTGACTGAGAGACTTGAAGCGATTCTCTTCAAGAAAATCTCTTTCATAGTTCCCTACATGGAGAAAGGAGACTTTTAAATGTTAGATTCATCTTAGAGAAAGAGGATTATACTTACATGTTAGATTCCATGTGTAATCTATGTTAAACGTTTCGTGGTCATCTTCCGAGCAGTTCAGCATTATTACAAAACACGAATAGCTTCAGGAGTGATAAAAAGGCAAAAGATTAGATCGTAGATCTAGTCGTTTCGTAAAGGCATATCTAACATGAATATCCAATCGAATTGTGCCGGCTATCTTGTACAACGAGAAAGAATGGGTGAATGCACAAGGACCTATTCAACACTTTGATTACTTTCAAAAGGTGTCCTGCTAGGCGTCTTGAATGTTGGAAGGAATTCATCATATAAAAACGATAGTAAACGTCTACGACAAACTATTCTAAATTGTTTCTTCTCCTCACCCGACATGCGCACAAGACAGACTGCATCAGCGGCTGGAAGCAATAAGACGGCTGTAACGACAAACTTTATTCAAGGTGATTCGACTGATTTTATTTCAACCAAACATTTCCTTTTATATCCGTTCCCTCTGTTCTCTTTTCTTTTGAGCGCATCGGTCAAGAGAGAACAGGAAGAGAAAGAGACGGACGGAGAGAAACACGAAGAAGAGAAAAGAATCATTCGATGAACTGATGAAGGTGAACTCGCTATGAGACGAGATGCATACCCAGGTCGAAACCACCCTACCGGATCCTATCGGATCCCTAAACAATCCGTCAACATCCGACAGTCGGATCCGATAGGATTCCGACGATGGGATTCCGTGCACATCCTTTAGTTTCCGCTTACATCCTGCCGTCGGAATATCCAGGATTCCGACAGCAGGATCCAGATATTTCCGACACCTGGACCTGTTGGATCCGACATAATCCGACTGTCGGAATGCGTCGGACTCAACAGTGTATTGCATCATCAAGTACTATGTGAGTTACTCTAGCCAGTTACTATTCCTGATAGATTTTCAACGATGATTCGGCGATGAAAGACCTTCTATAACTGAAATTTATCAGTATATTTGCAAACCGTAGATGTTCAACATCTGAAGAGATTATATGTAGATTTTAGTGACCTCTATTTACACTACATGTAAATGGTCAGTAGGTTATACAACGATTTACATGAACAAGGATCATTTCTTTGACAGTATACGTTCATTTTTACTTTCGTGTTATTCCAATTTGGATCGGAAATTTTTTTTAGTGATAATTTTTTTTCTATTTTTCATTTTAGAATCCAATATCAGAATTAAAAATTTTTTTTTTTACTACTGGTCAACGATAACTAGCAGATACTGTAAAAATTCAAACTTTTTTCATGGTATGTGCTTTTTATTTGTACAAATACTAAGCAAGACGAGATAGTGTTGGTAAGTAACTCTTCATTTATCGAATATGTACTTCTTCTGAGATTCTAGTTACCCAGGTAAGAAGTTTTTAACTCTTATTTGTTTTCTGTTTAGAAAAGAATCGTCCATGTTTCAGTTGTCTTTCATGTATCTATTTTTCGTCATTGTAAAACAGTTTTTTGTTGTTTTTTATGCAAATAAATTGAAAATAAATGCTCAAAAAAAGTGAATAAAAAACAAATAATTGTAATCAGAAAAGCCTGTAAAAACCTATCGGATCCTGTCCATTCTGGGATTTTCCGACTATCGGATCCGGGTGTCGGAAATTGTCGGATCCGTCGCCCCACTACTTCCGATCGGATTCCTGTGCCAAAGATTCCGACGATTGCCGACACGGATTTTGTCGGATGCTGTCGGAAGTTATCGGATTCCTGAAAAAATCTGCCGGATTTAGTAGGTTTTCCGACAGGATCCGATGGGATCCAGAGCCCTGATTACTCGTCTTGGGTAGATATAATGAACAGAAAGGAGAGGATGATAATATATACATGAGTCATCTATCTGTGTTTGATAGATTAATTGATGAATACACAAATGTTGTCACAGATAGACTTTCATTTGAACGAGATTCATACGAAAACACTTGTCGATCTTCACCACAATCGACAATTTGTTCATTTTTGATACATTGAAATGCTTGTGGACAGTAAAATTCCTTTTCCAGACTATGGATTTCATAGTCGAAGATAAGTAAAGAATGAATGTAAGTACACGGCATAAGAACATCGCACAATGAGAGACGTGTGGATTTCCCCATCGAGTCAGTGAGAATGAGTCGACGACGAAATAAAACGACGTGGCGCTTTGTTCTTTCACAATCTGTCGTGAGGAAACGTAGTGGTTAAAGTTTCGGTAGTATTTGTGCTTAATAAGGAAAACGACTTCCTTTAAAAATGGAAAAAGTAGCAAACAATTTCAGAAGTTACAATAAAAACCACTACAAAATAGGTTTCCTTTCCTAAATAGAATGCCACCGAGAGAGATGTTGTCTATCGATCCTTTGACTTATTCAAAAACGTAGAAGAATTGACCGAAACAACAGTTGTTAGTCTATACGAATCGATATCAAATCATCGCCATCACGTCATCTTTCGTTAACGATTGGAAAACTCAAGAAATTCACTTTCATTGCAAATCATTTTGTGTTCTTTGAAGCGTCATTTGATAGTTTTTTCACTTTAAATATAAATCTAATTTATTGAATGTGATGTTCGATCTTTTTATGAGAAAGGTTTTTCGATCAACGACTTTTAATCTGATTATCTTAACGAAGTGCTTCGTGTCTTGATTTTTACAATATAATCGGAATTACGACTGAAAAAATTAATTTCAAAGGTGAACTAAATCAAATCGTTGAATTCGATCATTTCTACCATCAGCAACATAAAGATTTCCTTCACCATCAAATGATAAAACGCGAGGACCAAACAATCGATTAGGTCCATTTCCATCAACAATTATTTCACCTTCTTCATCTCCTTCACACCATCGCATTATTCGATCATTCCAACAATCTGCAACACAAATTCGACCCTCATGATCAATAAGGATTCCTTGAGGATGATTCAATTGATTCAGATTCTCTCCTCTTCCATTTCCACCAGCAACAACAATTACTTCCTGCGCATCTTTTCTCCATTTCATCACACGATCATTTTCCCGATCTGAAACATAAAGAGATTGTTCGTCATCGACAAACAGAGAAGTTGGACAGTTGAACTGATTGAGTTGATCTCCTCTTCCATTTCCACCAGCAACTAAGGTTCCTTCACTCTTTTCTCCTATTTTCCATCTTCTCACTTCATCTTTCTCCCCATCAGAAACATAAACAAATCCAAATTTATCCATTGTTAACCCATAACAGTCGATATTGTGAATGAGAATCTCCGACTGATTTGTGTCCAAAAACCATCGCATTACTCTTCGATTTCCAAAATCAGTAATGATAATTGAATTATTTTGTTCATCAAAAATCACATCCGTTGGATAATTCAATTGATTCAGTCTGTTTCCTTTTCCATTTCCACCAGCCACAACTGTTCCTCGATTTTCGTTTCTTTTCCATCGAACAATTCGATCATTCCCCCAATCCGCAATGAAAATATTTCGATGTTTGTCGATAAATATTCCACCAGGATCCGAAAGTTGATTTAATTCTTCTCCTTCTCCATTTCCTCCACAGATTGTCGATCCATTTTGTCTCCATTTCCTCAAAATTAATTCTAAACAAAGAAAAACGAATTCTTTTCTCATCAAGATTAACACTTTTTCCTACAAAGACTTTTGCAAAGAAATGTCTGAAAAGTCTTTTCTAGATGGAAATTGATTTAATTTCAACTATTGAAAAGAATATTCAAATGAAAACGAATTCAGATCGATTTTGAAAGAAAAGGAAAAGATTTTCATTTGTTGATTTGATTAAAATGAGAAACAAATTGACGATTTCTTTAAATAAAGATCGTCAAATTTTCTTCGATTTCAACAATTTTCGTTTCAGTGAAATGAAAATGAAACTTTTCTTCGTTAATTTTCTTTTTCTCTAAAAACTCAAATTTCTTCTTCATCTTTCATCGTCTCATCTTTTATCAATTCAATGCCCAATTGATCAAATCTGAAAAAGAACGAATTTCTCACGAATTCTCTCAAAATAAACTCATCTAATCATTTGAAATTATTCAAATCTACAAAGAATTTTTGTATTTTCCTTTCAAATTTCGAGATTTTCTCGAGATTTATTCCAATGAGAATTTTTCTTCAAATCGATTTTCATTTCCTCTGAAATCTTCTGAATTCTCTTCTCATTGAAATCGTTCACATACCTTGAGTAACTCTTTTCAAAAGTTTTTCGATGAATATTTGTGAATTTTCATTTGAATTCATTTCCACTTGATTTTCCGAATGTTTTTTCATTTCCATTAATTGATCTTTGAAATAATTCAAATCGAATTCATTAAATTCATTTTCTTTTTGAACTTTTTTCATTTTTTCTGTTATTTCATCAAATCTTCTCTTTAATTTATCGAGATTTTTTCTTTCTTTTTCGATTAAAAGATTTCGATATTGTTGAGCTGTTTGTTGAATTAATTCGATCGATTTCTTTTCCCA